ATAGTCTTAGTATTCGTATACATTTCCATTATATCGAACAAGATATTTTGGAATAAGTTGTCGACGTAGACTCCATCTGATTGCTTCACGGGGAACTTGATCAAATGCTTTTTCAAGGTCTACAAAAATGTGTGATAGTTGTTGATGCTTTGCGAGGTACTTCTTTTGCAGTTGCCAAAGGATGTGAATTGTGATGCACGACGTTAAATTTCTCTCAATGATTTTCTCGACAATTTTTAGGGAGTATTCTAACAGACGTATACCCCGATATGATGAACAGTTCAATAGATCACCTTTGCCTTTGTATAGCGGGACTGTCTTGCTAAAGTTCCATTCAGTCGGCTTTGAGCAATTTCTCCAGATTTTACGGCAAAGTTGTAGTAACGTTTGGATACCTGCAGTACCAGATGCTTTGATAATGTCATTTGTGAGTCCCGAGGGCCCTGCTGCCTTTCCATCCTTTATAGCTTTCAGAGCTTCTCTAAGCTCCTCTACAGTGAAGTCTGAAATCGGACCTTCGATGGGTGGAGCGTCAAAGTTAACATTGATGGGATTTGTTTCGTTTAACAGACGGTTGAAGTATTCTCTCCACGGTAGCTTGATCTCATCTTGTTCAAGAACCATCTCATTTTTGTCATTTTTGATACATGAGGCACCAACTATGTCTTTTTTCGTACGCTTTGCTTGTTTTGCTATACGATACAGAGATTTCATTTGTTCACCTTTGCTTTTAGTGAGCCACTCTCTGCACTGATCTGTCCGAGCCAGTGCAACTTGACGTCTTGCATAGTTGTTCTTCTCACGGAAAATTTTATGTTCATCAACAGACTTTGATTATTGCCATTGCTTGTATGCAACTTTTTTTTCAGCTATTGCATTTTGTACACTGTCATTCCATCACCAAGTGTCTCGTTCATGCTGACGTTTTGTAGCAGTTTTCCCACAAACTTTAGTTGCAGCGTTTATCAAAACGGTTTTGTATGTACTCTTATCTGTACTGGATTGCGATTGGTGGTCTAACAGTGTGGCGACAATCTGTTGAAATTTTTCTCGATGAATATTCCTTTTCAGCTTCCACGTTTTGATTCTCCGAGGCATTTGTTTAGACTAATGTTTTGACAGTTCGACATCCAGGTCTGCCACATGGAGTTTATGTGGGCGACACATGATTTGCTAGGTATAACTTTGACGTTTTTGAATAGTTTGACTATGCATACACAAGTATGTATAAAAAACTTGAATCAAATATAATTTTTTTTATTTGTAATTAACGATGGTTATGAAAATTAGATCATTATAGTTCTATTAGAGTTTGTTCTTTTTCGTTTATGTTTTTCATTTTATTGATATTATTTGAAAATCTCGAATTTCAAATACTATAATAATAATTATTTACAAGGTAATAATAAATTTGTTAAATTTGTATATCTAAGGTCATTTTGTGGCGTGGATAATTTTACGTGGGCAAAACAAATGAAAAAACCAAAACGTAACATATTTGTTTTTTTTAATTTTCAATCATATATGAAGTTTAAAATAAATCTTAAAGTTGAAGCTAATATAATTACTTTTTTCGGTGTTTGCCATGGCTGCAGCATTGAAAAAAATTATATAAAAAACATAATTTTCGATGTTTTTTTGTAAAAATAGAGCCAATGAGTAGATCCACCTGAAACATAAATTTACAAATTGTTTTTTGATTTGACATATGAGCTAGTAACATACAGATGACCATGGAAAAAGTAAGTTTTTTTCAGCCATTTTCAAGAATTGACAGTGATCAATTGATCGTCATAGCAAAAGCCATTTGAATTAAAAACTGAGTTTTTTAAAGAAAAATAATTTGTTTTCAGCAACTAATGGAATTATTAGAATGAACACTTTTAAACCATTGTCACTACTTGTTAACGTAATAGCTTCAAATTTGGTTAATAACTTTTTACACAAAGACCATTTTAATTTATGGAGCGTTTTGATTATAGAAGCAAAATAATTGGAGAGCTCTGTTTTTTATTGATTATTGTGTTGAGGCTTTAAGAGCAATTCTTGTGAGCTATCAATAGCCTAAACCAAAAAGAAAAAATAAAACAGCATGAATCAAAGATTGAGCATCTGTCATTTAAAACATAAAGTTGAAGAGTTAAGTTTAAGGTAACTTTAGTAAATGTTGTTGGAATAAAAAGTAGTAGAAAAGTGCAACGTAAATATGATCGAAGCTTATCCTACATATTAAAACATTTTGATCTATTAGAACTTACTATAGCTTGTGAATTTCTAACTTACCATCTTATAACTAAGTGTTTTTATGGCATGCAGTTCAACTTACAAACGTTTTTATTACCTCTATTTTTTTCTTCGCCCTGACTATTTTATTGTTAGTCTTAATAATGGATGCCATTTTTTTTTCTTCATTGTTATTGAAGTTAGTATTAAGGCGTCGAGTTGGTAATGATGTTATAATTCTTTTTATATGTTTATTTGATGTTTATTGATATCTATTAGGACAGCTGCAATTTTTAGATTTATTGTGTTGCTGATTTGATAAATTTTTTGTGTTGTTTTCAAGAATTGGGCGGGTTGTTGGAGTTGCATGTGATGATTGCATGTGACATTTGATGGATCCTCTTTGTATATGCATTGTGAGACGTCAGAAGATGATCTATGAAAAATTGAAATAAGGCCTTATCTACATAACAAACAAACAACAAAAGATTTCAAAGATACTCTCGACAAGAAGGACAATAATAAAATATACCATTATCACTAATGGTACCGATGAAGACACTGAAGAAAGCAACATCAACTAAAGTGCTATCGAAGAGCATGTAAATGGCTCTGCGAGTGTAGGATGTTGTTCTGCTTTTGTGTAAGCGTGCCTTTTGATTTCCAAAAGCAATAAAACATAACACCAAAGTAATTAACCCGAACAAAGTAATTTGCCGCGTTGAAGTTATATCATTTCTGAAGTGCGCTTATTATTACTTAATGAACGAATATATATATATATAACTCGGTAGAATTTATAGATTATTGTAAAAATTATGGTCTTTTATCAACATTTATAATATATATATATATATATATATATATATATAGAATTTATAGGTAGAATTTATAG